CATGTGTGTGTGTGAAGTGTGATACTGAGTGTTGCGTGTGGGACATCCAGGGTGATCCAGAGTGCGAACAGTGAGTTGTGTGGGTGCTCAGTCGCCATAGCCAGTTTGAAGAGAACTCTTATGTGGATACGATATCTTGAGTACTGAGTGGGCGCCTGTCGCCAATTTGCTGTTTCGCTGTTTGCATACATGACAAGTTGAATAATCGTAGTGTGATTTCAAAGACTGATTTTCTGGAAGATGACGACACCTATCTTCAAAGAACAAAAATGAAAAATGAAAAAATGAAAACATGAAAAAATGAAAAAAATGAAAAATGAACAATGAAAAAGGAAAATGCGTTAAAAAAAAAAAAAGAAAAAAGAAAAAAGAAAAATGGACAATGAAAAAGAAAAATGGACAATGGAAAAAGGAGAACAGCAGAGCGTCTTCATCAGAGAAGCAACCACCTCTCCCAATTTACCCACCCTTGCCTCTGCCCTGCACGTCTGGAAAGTAGGGGAAGAAGTGGTTGTCATCCAGTTTTCAAAATTTAAAAAGGAATTAATTATTAATAATACTGTAATTACAAAAGGCGCACACACCCTAAGCAGGAAAGACCCTTTAGCCCCATTGAAAGAGCCGCACGTCTCAGTTATACCTTGTCCTCCTGCTCATCTCGAAGGGGCTACCTTCTTTACCCGAATAGAACGCCCGGCGACTATATCTGTATTTAGTGCAACTTCCAGCCCAGATGCAGGCAACAATGGCCGGGGGTTCTATTCGCGGGTAAACGGCAGTCCTAACCCCCTACTTTACGACAAAGAAGGCTAAAAGCCTACAACGAAAAAGAACTTTTAAAAACACAAAAAAAGAGAAAAAAAAAAGCAATCCACCCCATACATCTTCTGAACAGGATTACCAGCCATCTAATACACAACATACCCCACTACTTTCCCCCCTTTTCTTTTTTTTTAACCCTGTTCTTCTTCTTCTTTTTAAAACAAAAAAAAAAGAAAAAGAAAAGGGCGACGGCCTTGAGATAACATCATCATTGAATTGACCGTCCCCAGGCACTTCAGAACAATGTTTGTTTAAAATTGAAAAAAAAAAAACAAAAAAAAAAAACGTTGTTTTGGTCATCTGGTTGCATCTGGATTCGAACAGCAGTGCCACGGTCAGGCCCCGCCGGTGCAACGTTCATGCTCGCAACGCATGAACCTGACCATAATTACGGCCATGTTCCTGCTCTGGTTGCATCTGGATTCGAACTTGGGGGTCTGTATTTTAACAGTTCACGGGTGTGCCAACTGAGCTAAGCCCCTTAGCTCGTCGGTACAACCCTTCTTTTTTTCCTTTTTTTTTTCCCTTTTTTTTTTTTTCCTTTTTTTTTTTTCCCTTTTTTTTCCCCCCTTTCTTCCCAACAGAAAATCCCCAAAAAAACTCAAGCCGATTAGTTCTATCCAATCACCCCTCGTCATCGCATCACCACCATCACTCCTTTACTCTCCAATTACTCAAGGAGCAAATAACTTCCCCTTTCTCCCCTCCCCCCCCCCCCCCCCCCCCCCCCCCCCAACAACAACAACAACAACAACAAAAATTCCACCCTCCCAACAATTTTGCGGGGAATGCTCCGTGCGTGCGTCCAAATGTGAAAAAAAATGGTTTGTCTATCGTATCGTATCAAAGAACGTGACTACATACATACCTACATCATACATGCATTCATCTTTTTCTCCTTCTCGATTTATGCGTGTCAACCTTGTATCGTTCCAATTTGAACAGATGTCCCGGAGGACTGACATTTTTTCACATTTGGACCCCCTTCTTCTTTTTCTCCTCCTCTCTTTCGCCCCCTTTCCAATTTTTATTCTACTCTCTTCCCCCCTGCTCGTTTGCTAGGTCTGATAGGTAGTTGATTGATTGGCTGTTAGATTGATTGGCTGTTGAATTGATTGGTCGCCGATTGATCAGCTGTTGGATTGATTGGTTGTTGATTGATTGGCTGTTGGATTGATTGGCTGTTGGATTGATTGCCTGTTGGATTGATTGGCTGTTGGATTGATTGGTCGTTGATTGATTGGTTGTTGATTGATTGGCTTTTGGATTGATTGGTTCGTCGTCGATTGTCTAGTCAGGTTGATTGATTGGCTGTTGGATTGTTTGGTTGTCGACTAATCGGTTCACTTACACGAGGTACGTACTCGACTTATCATCACCATATGGATTGATTGGCTGTTGGATTGATTGGTTGTTGGATTGATTGGTCGTTGATTGATTGATCGTTGATTGATTGGTTGTTGATTGATTGGCTTTTGGATTGATTGGTTCGTCGTTGATTGTCTGGTCAGGTTGATTGATTGGCTGTTGGATTGTTTGGTTGTCGACTAATTGGTTCACTTACACGAGGTAGGTACTCGACTTATCATCACCATATGTGACAAATCGCGTAATCAGCGCTGATGACTCGAGTGACGCACTTGCCATCTCACTTTTGAGTAATCAGCGCTCGATTCCCACGTGCAGATCCGATCATAGAATACATTAATCAAATAGAACGGTGCAATCAAATATCATACCAGCAACTAATTAGACAAAGAAGCATTGCACTCTGAAAGATGTAATCAAGTCAGTCAATCAGACAACGCGACACCACCACACCACCCAGTCCACCGAACGGGATCGGCTCGTTCTAGCAGCCTCACACGACACCAGCCGATAAATCGTCAATCAATCAACTATCAATCAATCAATCAATCAATCAATCAATCAATCGATCAATCAATCAATCATAGAGCAATCAATCAGTGCACTCAATCGACGTCTGGATCACCAGGCAGATCAAAAGGTCAACCCATCAACAAATCAGATTGATGAAACCCATCAACCCAATCAAACGAATGCATCTACCACATCATCCTTTAAACGGATATATCGATCAATCAAACCCGTCAATTAGAGTGGACAAACCCGTATACCAAACAGATAAATCAATCAGATAAATAGATCACAAACCAACCAATCAAATCAGACAAATCCACATACCAAATCGTTAATCAATCAGATAAATAGATCGATCAAACCAATCGTTCAAATCCGTGTAACTCTCATCTACCAAATCATGAACCAAATCGACCAACCAGTCCAAAGATCATCGGCAGCTTCGATAGAACAGAGACCAGACGTTCACAGAAAAACAATCAATCAATCAACCAATCAATCAATCAATCAACCAACCAATCAATCAATCAATCAACCAACCAATCAATCAATCAATCAACCAATCAATCAATCAATNAATCAATCAATCAATCAACCAACCAATCAATCAACAATCAATCAATCAACCAATCAATCAATTAATCAATCAACCAATCAATCAATCAATCAACCGATCAATCAATCAATCAACCAATCAATCAATCAATCAACCAATCAGTCAATCAATCAACCACCCAACCAATCAATCAACCAATCAATCAATGATTGGTTGTTAGGGCTGTACTTTTATTTTCGATCCAAGAAATCAGATCCATTCCATTTGAACACAAGGCAAACAAGTGCAAACTCCTCCATGTGACAAAATCATATTCATTGGTGCAGAAGGTTGGAACAAAAAGAAACTGAAAAAGAGAGAAAAACAAAGAGCACAGCAGAAAGACTCTAGATACGACAAATCTCAAACGGGGAGAGAGATGAGAGGAAGGGAATGCGGAAGACAGAAAGAGGAAGGAAAGGCCAAACGACAGGACTGTCGGATAGAGGTAGGAGAGATGAGGGGCAGGAGGCGGAGGACGAGAAGATTGGGGAAACGACGAAGATGCAGAACAGGGACATAAGCGAGGGAGTGGATAAGAGGAAATGCGAAAGGGGGAGTGAGGGAAGGAGGAGGAGGAGGAGGAAGAAAAGAGGCAGATGTAAAGCACGTCACGGAGCAGACCAGACGGCAGAAAAATGGATTGGAGGGAAGAACTAAGAAGAGAAGTGAAGGAGAGAAAAGAGGGGGGAAAGTAGGAGGAGGAAGGGGGAAGAGTAGCGGGAAGAGGGGCAGGAAAAGGACGGGGAAGAGGAGGGAAAAGGGGACAAGGAGGAGGGGCAAGGCGGAGGAGAGGATCTGCAGGAAGAGAAGGTTTCAGGAGGGAAAGAGAGGGAGCAAGAGGAGGAGGAAGAGGAAAAGGGGGAAGCAAAGGAACAGAAGCAAGGCGAGCGTAGCAGACGAGCAGAAAAAAGAAGCAGAAGGAACGAGAAGAGGAGAGAAAAAGGAGAGGGCAGGGAGAAAGAGCTGGAAGGGGAATCAGAGCGAGTAGAATGCAGTACATAAAGAGTACGGGAGGTGGGCGACGGGGAGAGAGGGGATTGACGGAAGGGATGGAATAGAGGCAGAGCGAGTGGAGCAAAAAAGAGCGGGAAATGCCAGGAGGAACGACAATAAAGAAGTAACAAATAGCGGGAAAAGGACTACGAGAAGACACTAAAGGCGGTCGGGGAGTAGGAAAGCGAAGGGAGGAGGAGGAGGAGGAGGAGGGGGGGGGAAGAGGAGGAGAAGGAGGGGGAAAGAGGAGGAGGAGGGGGAAAGAGCAGGGAAAGAGAGAAAGTAGAGAGGTGGTCTTGATGAGCAGGGAAAGAGAGAAGTAGAGAAGTAGAGAAGTAAAGACGAGGGGGAAAGAGGAGGAGGATGAACATGAAGCAAGCAAGCAACCAATGTTATACAAAGTGGGAGAGAAAGTTGGATCTCTTCCGTCTTTACCCGAATAGAACGCCCGGTCATTATAGCTGTATTGGGTCTAACTTTCGGTCTTGATACACAGCTATAATGACCTGGCGTTCTATTCGGGGTGAAGACGTTAGGAGGAGCAAGGAACGGTAGAGAGGAGGGGAGGAAAGGGGAGGAAAGGGGAGGAAAGGGGAGGATAGGAAGACGGGGAACATGGGTAAGCAGAGGGTAGAGGGAGGAAGGCAGGAAGGAAGTAAGGCTCTGGATAGGGTAGAGGAAGAAGGAATAAGGAGGAGCCACTCACATGCTCATCTGTAGGATCAAATGCAAAGCACCTTTTTGACTTTGCCCCTGGGAATGCTTTCGCCGCCTGCAAGAAGTCGTCGTAGACTTCGATCACATTAGGAGAATGAGGACAGTGGCATATTCCGATGACCCCGTGAATTCGTCGATGGGCTTGGAAATCCTCCCAGGGACTTTTCGCAGCCCCTCCTAGTATGAATTTGAAATTCAGATACCCCCCATCCCAAGGTTGATGAGCAAACGGACTCTTCTGATGTTCCGTGTAAAACGACTTCGCCGCCGTCAGATCGACCCGACGACATCGGACGACAAGAGTGGAGTATTCCCGGAATGTTGCAGCAGAGATATTGCCGACAGGCAGCAACACAACTCTAATCACCGACGCTCCTTCTATGCTTGGATCAGGCTCCATCTTCTCCTTCTTCCTCTTCTTCTTCTTCTTCTCTCTCTCTCTGTGTGTGTGTGTGTGTGTGTGTGTGTGTGTGTGTGTGTGTTATGTGTTATGTGTGTGTTATGTGTGTTATGTGTGTGTTATGTGTGTGTTATGTCCTCTCTCTCTCTCTCTCTCTCTCTCTCTCTCTCTCTCTCTCTCTCTCTCTCTCTCTCTCTCTCTCTCTCTCTCTCTCTCT